ATTATTGACAGTGTTTTTGTTGTGAGGAGTTGAGATTCTACAAACACTTAGCTTTTATGAAAAATTTTGTATTTTTCTTTGAGCAGTATATAACTTGTATAAGGTCTTCCTCTGTAAGTGCTACAGACAGTGCATAAAGAGTACTTCTACGTGTTGCTTTTCATTTAAAATTTGCTTTCTGCATGACAATGAAATTTCATATGCCCTCTCTGGTCATACTTCTTCTCTTCATGGGATGATAAATGATAGAAAACAATTATTTAAATTCAGTATGGCCTTGAACTCTTTTATGCAAATTCTCTAGCTGTAGTTGTAGCACAACTCTTTGGTCAGCCTTGGATAGTAAATAATTTGTCAATCTTTCTTTTATGAACCTTTTGTCTAAGGGTCTGCCAGCCTTTCTTCTCTGTGGGTTTTGATCTGTGTTTATGGATTCCGCTTTTTGTTTTTAGGCTGGCAGATGGCCAGTTATTTATCTGGCTTCATGTGTATTGTGTGAGGCAGAAGCAGGACGTTTTGCATGCTGATATCATCCACGGGGCATCTGGGGGGCAAAAGGCTGCTCCTAAGCAGAAGCCATTACGTGATGTGTCAGTAGCTCTTGGTCAGTGAACAAAGCCCCTTTTGACATTTCTCTGTGTTAAAAGTTATTTCATAACATGAGCTTCATGAACAAACAAGGTGATACAATGCTTCTACTATGAAATAAGCCATATAATCCATTTCCCCTCCATTTTGAACTCTCCAGAGTTCAAAAATTTGATGCCCTATTTATACATTTGTCACTGTTATTTATTCCTTTGAATTTCTGCGCTTGCTTGCTTTGCTGCTGTACAGATTTCTGGTGCTGTGCTGGGAGAAAAGGATAAAAGGATATTGGTTTTGGAGGAGCTGGATTCACTAGTTCTAATAAATAGTGAATTTGGTGTTGTGGCTTGGTTTGTGGTTCCTTCTATAGGTTTGGCAGCAAAGCCAAAACCCTGATCAGGCAGGAAGTTCAGACCTACAGAGACGAATCCCAAAGGCAGAATTTCATAGATGAGTATTCTGTTCACTGTGGCAATTCCTGAGTTTCTGACTCTGTCAACATTATTCTGTGCTGGCAATGGACAATCAGGGATGCAAATGTGGGAATTTTGGAGGAGTGAGGAGGAGGAGCAGCAGAAGTCTTTAGGAGATGTCTTCAGTTCTACTTAAGTGTGAGGCCATCAAGGACTGGAAGCAAATTAAAAAATGCACTTAGTGCTCTATGGAAGCACAACACAATTAGTGTGCTGTTATTAGTGCTGTTATTCCTTTCTTGGTGCTGCTTGCTCAGTTATTGGAGTTCATAATCCCCTGGCAGCGCAAGCTTTTATGCAGATACAAAAACTGCCCTCAAAAATGACACCTGTTTGGTTCTGCTGCTCTCATTGCAGGAAAAAAAAAAAAAAAAAAAAAAAGGTAATGTATCTTAAAGAGAACTTGTACATCTTTGTGCTGGTTTCTCTTGCAGTGCTAGTTCTATTTCTCTATTCTGTATTGCTTAGCAGGGCTGCTTTTTAGTATTAAACACTTCCTGCCTGTGTGAGCTGGCTCCCCATTTATGATTGTAAGCTTACTTCTAAGGATCATTTATAAAATGTTTCAAAGTTGTGCAATATTTCCAGATTACAAAGAATGATGGAAAGCTTTAACCAGTATCTAAAAGTGCTACAGCTGAAGCCTCCAGCTATTTTGAGTCAGATGTCTTGGACTATTTAGAGCATATTGCTATATTTACACACAGTTCAGAAAGTTGGAGGCTGGCATTGATGAGAAGCAGTGTATTGGCACCCACAGCCTTGGCCTGCAGATGGACATGGTATGATACAAACTTCGGGAATTTGCTTGCTCATATCTCTGTTGACTGGGCTTTTATGAGCAGAAGTGTGAAAGATTTGGGGGTCTGCCTTTCACTCAAAAAATGGCATCCAGTGGCAATATCCCTTTTAGCACCTTTTCAGGCCTTCTGGAAAGTTTACAAGTGGAAGACTCCCACCTCCTTAATCATGAGAAAACGCTGGCTCTCCTCTGAATGTCATTCATTCAAGTGTGCTGACCTGGCCTGACCTTGTTTAGGTTGGGATCTAATGAGCCCACAGCCCAAGGTGGTGTGGTAGCTCTCAGCAGGCTTTGCAAATAAGCAAGTGCTGTTTTCCTGTGTGCATGTGGTTTAAATTTATCATGTCAATAAACAAGTGTCTCACATGCTCAAATAGGGACTTTACAATGTTGTAGTTAAGGCTAAATTGTAGCGCTACAAATTGTGATGTCACTTTATAAATATAGAAGGAGACAACCTGGAATATTTATGACCTCCAAACAATGAAGTCCTGTTGGTGGTTTTTTTTTTTAGTTTAAATAATGACATAACACTAAAACTCTTAATCCAAATGGGTCACAAACATCTTCCAGGCAAACAGTCACACTAATGGTTTGGGGAAAACAAAATAACAAACTCAGGCTGTTGATTTAAGGAAAGAAGAGGTGCATCAATAGCTTAATAAATAATAAATACAGCTAGGATTTAAATTCCAGTGGAAGGTTTTGTTTTGTTTTCTTTCAAGTCCCCAGGTTTGGGGGAAGGAATTTTTTTAATATAAATAAAATTACCCTCACTGATAAAATCACCCTCAGCTTCAGTAGGGACTGTACCACCAAACACAGTATTTTCTGAAGCAGATAAAACCTAAGGCATTCAAATCAAAAACTAGTTTAGGACAGACTGTGGCACATCCTACTAAGTGAAGCAAGTTGACATGGATGGGTAGAAGTATACTTGGAGCTAGAGAAGTTGTTTGAGCTGTTGTGAGGACTCTGTCAGTGCCTGTGCTGGGAGCCCCAGGCAGAGGCTGATGTGTCCAGGTTTCCCTGGATGATGCTGTGGGCCAGCAGAAGGCACCTCCAGCTGTAAATCCCAATTCTTTCCTGCCAGGACAGCCCTGCAGGAGAACAATGCTCTTGTCTCAGGCATTCCACAGCCCATCCATGCTGGAAACAAACGTTGTTAGGGCTTGGCATTTACGTTGGGACCTACAGAGAGGGAGCAACTTGTTTTGTTTTTAATGGAGCGGTCAGGGAGAAGGATAAAAAGCTTTTTGATAATGTGAGGAATGTGAGGTGGGGGAAGGGAAGTAACCAAGATATGCATTTACTGTAAGTATGAAGAAGCAGAGGCTTCTTTATCGGACTGGCTCTAATGATGTGCCACAGTCACTTTATTTGAAAGCTTCATGGCTCACAGAAAAGTAAACAAATTCATTACATTATTTTTAAAAGAAGATTAACTGTAGTGTGTTGTCTGTTGGACAGCTGCTGTAGTAATCTTTTACAAACACTTTATAAATGACCACCCTCAGTGTTTTCTAGGGCTTTGTGTGGCTGGATTGTTATTTTAGTAAGTACCAGGGTGGATTTTCAAATGCAAACGTTGTTTCCTGTGTAACAAATTCAATTCTACTTTCACCCTAAATATTATTTTGTTCTCAGCATGAACTATAAAATCTCTTCTATACTAATGCAACATATGTTGCCTTTTTGCATGTGTTTGCAATGAATGCTAGCTTTTCAATAAAAGTACATAAAAAGCATTTTAAACAAGAAAAAGCAACTCCGCTTTAGTGTCCTACTTCCATTAGTTCTGATTTCTGCTTTCTTAACCTTTCTTTGGTCTGTGAAAACACCAAGTTGAAAAGATGAGTCAGAGCCAGCTTAGTTGATAGGTGAATTGACACTGAACAAATGTTTAAACCCCAACAGGTGTCTTGGGCAAATAAGACTGTGTTCAGGTATTGCCTTGTTTAACATTCTTTGGTTGAATGTCAGCAAGAATAACCTTATTTAGCTCTGTGTCTGGATTTGTGTTTGAAAGCCTTGGACTGACACAAATTAATGTAACACTGAGGATTTGTGAACTTATAAAGTGGTTTTAACCAATCTTGCCATAAAGCAGTTGATCTTGTGCATTCAGGTTCCAGTTACAGATTCCTTGAACAGGTGAGGGGGGCAGGGAGAGGAGGAGGAGCAGGGAGAGGAGGAAGAGAATTTCTTTCTCACCCACTTGGCCTCTGTGGGAGTCCCAGGCTCTAGCAGAGGACCATACCTGGCAAGTACCTCCCTCAGACATCTGGGAATGCCTGGAATGAATCTCATCTTGCTATGGAATAGCATTTTATTTATACACAACATAACCTCACATTGGATTTTCCAGGATAAACACAGTGTTTATAGTCAGATAAACTATTAAAAGCTCTTCATCTGTATGTGAAATACTTATTTTCATTTGGGATCTACTGATGCATATATTTATGGTAACATGGTTTTAGATGTGAATAATTAACTGTTCTGTCTGCAAACCTAAAGGAATGTCAACCTTTGTGAGATATGTATCTGTGTATATTGAAGATTGTGCAAATATTTCCTCAAGATTGCTAAAGGATCTCCAAGAGGTCTTGGATGAAGGAGGAAGTTGTCACATCATTGCCCTTGGCAAAATCGAGATGAAGCCTCTGCATGGCAGACAGAGGTTTTCTCAGTCCAGGGACGTGTGTGATTACACAACAAACACAAACTGAGGACCTTCAGGAAACCCTGCTGCTCCCACTGAAATGTGTGTGTGCTGAAAAATCATCCCAAGCCTCCATCTGCTGTGAGACAGCCTCTGCTGTTCACATGCCCTCCTCAGGTTTGGGTGTGTTAGAAATGATTTTTAATACACAGGTGGAAGGTGCTCAGGTTGCTGCAGTTCTCAGAGCAGTATCAACATCTATAGAGGGCAGCTCGACAGATCTCCCTGAGTGCAGCATTTGCAGTCCTGGGAGTTGGGCAGAGAGGTGATGGAAGTACAGTGAACAGTAAAAATAAAAAACGTGAACCTTCTGGTTTAAAATATTACCTGTGCCCTGTAATTACACTTATGCATATTTTGTTCACTTTCCTATAGAAAGAAAACCACTTAATTTAAATGTTAATTATTTCAGGCTACAAAAGAAGAAGAGCTTATTGCAGAGGAAGAGGAAGAACTTACTCCAGAGGAAAAGAGGAAACTGGAAAGGAAATTAAAAAAAGAGCGCAAGAAGAAGGAGAGACAGCTGATGAGGGAAGCTGGAATCCCCATTAAAAAGGTGGAGCCCAAAAAGCCATCGGGATCTGAGCGGGCTCTGGCCTATTTAACCAGGTAAGAACTGTAAAACCACTGCAGGTGCTGCCTGCAGAAGTCAGCTGGAAAGCAGTAACCAAAGCAAGCTGTACCAAGCAATAACACATTAAAGGAAATGGCTGCAGTTAAGTACTAAGTTAATGTTTCATCTCAGTTGACACCCTGGAGGACAGTTGATCACCCCATTGTGTTTCTATTACAGCAACAACAGAGAGAAGTTAAGTATGGTACAAACATCTTATAGAAAGGCCAGCTCCTGTCCTGAAGATCTTTTGGTTGTTATATAAATATCACAGGCTTAGCTGCACTTACAGAGATGAAAGGCACATTGCAAAAAATATTGCATTGAGAAAATGAGTTTTGTTTCTTCAGTGTGCTGTTCTAGGCAAAGGACTTCCAGTTGTTCTCTTTATATAAGCAAATTCCATGGAGTGGTTAAGCATTGCAGAGTCCGAATTTAACCACCTGCAGAATGTTTGGGTATTTCTAGATAGTTAATAGTGTACAATGACTGATTTTTGCGCACCAAAGTGTACAGGGCTGATTTCAGATTGTTAGCACTGTTAGCACAATTATTAGAAGACTTAAAATTCCAGCATAAAGCAAAGTCTATGGTTAAACTAAAGGACTGCAGCAAAGTGCTCAGGGTACCCCACAGACAGTAAAGAGGTCATGTACAAACAGGAAGATAATGTTTATTTTGTTCCAAACTGCAAAATACACCCTGGCTGTAAGACCTCCAGAAGACTGGCATGTTACCAGTAGTGGGTTACCACGTGGAATTAATCCAGGGTTGCATCCCTGCCTGTGCTCAAAACTGAAGCATCCAGACTGTCTGAATTGTTACTTACCACTCACAGTGGGAAGGGAGGAAATTAATTGCATTCCAGGCAGAGGGACATGTGCATTTTTGTTACATAACCCTCAGCATGCAGCGATAGCAAAATGGCAATAATATTTTTGATCTGGAAAACAGCTGGAGCAGTTCACCACCGTTTTGAACTGCAAATAGATTGACAGTTAGCTTTGAACCATCCCCTCAGCCTGCTCTCTGGGATGTGTGCTCTGGTAAATGGTGGATCTCCAGATAATGCATTTCAGGTTTGGAAAGTAAAGGAACAAGCTGTAGGGTTTTGCTTGTTATTCCACTCTTGTCTGTATGGATTTTTGCCTTGTTACATGGGAGAATGTGAAATTATATTTGAACTAATATTTGAACAAATTTGATTCTAGAGTTTCACTTGACCTGAAATAGAAAACCAGCTCTGTCATTTGGTCTTGTCATACAGAGTCTATGGGTTGTATGTACAGCAATAGGCTGTGAGGGATTATTTCAGCAAGAGACAATTTGAATTTTGGGGACTTAACAGGGGTAGTCTTAAGATGCTGATCTGCCAAGCAAACATAGCCATAGTCACCATTCTAGCCCCAAATGTTCCTGGACCATCTTGAACCATTATTAGTTATAGAAAAACAGCTTCATCCTCTTAAACCTAAGACCTTTTTTCAACCCAGTAACACTGCAAAACAAATAACTGGATTTATATGAATCCAAGGAGTAACATACTAGCTGGGGAAGGGAGACAAAAATCCGGGTTCTGGAAATCCATTGCAAACTCTCCAGCATATTGAGTGGGTGAAGTATTTCAGTCTACATGCTTTTGCAGGGCTACGGGTGTGAATAATCTGTGGGAGGATAAGTAAATCTTACAGATACAAGAGATTAATGTAATTGGAAGTTAACAAAAGAGTGCTGTGGATTTGCCCCACCCACAATAAAAGCCTTACATGACAGAAGTGTGGGTGAATGAAGTGGTGTTTGAACTGCCTGATGGCATGTGAATCTCCTGTGGGACAGGTGGAACTCGATGCACTGTGTGATAACTGGAGCTGTCATTTTTATTTATTTTTATTTATTGAGGGGCTGTTTGCAGCAGGAGAGGAGCACAGCTGTACAAAGCTGTCAGCCGAGGGGAGGTAATAAGGAGAGCATTGGTGGCAGGAATGGGGCACACAGTGTGCAGGGCAGGGCTGTTCACTGCAGGGCACTGCTCTTCTGGTGCTTGCAGAGCAGCAGTGCAGCATTCCAAGGGCTGAACCGAGGCCCTGGCTCCCCTTGGCAGCACTGCCAACCTGTGCCCCCTCTGCTGGGGTCCCCACAAGCTGAGCAGGTCTTCCAGTTTCCCAGCTTTGTTATTTGATTCTAAAAACAAATGGTCCTTGATGCTTTCCAGTCTCCAGAGGGATCAAATTATCATTTTATTGGAAGGCTGTCCTAGCTGGGAGAGGCTTTTTTCACCATGCAGATGCCATGGCCACAGGCAACAGCAGCTGATGCCCCCTCAAAGTGCAGCCCCCAAATGCTGCACTGAGGAGCTGAAGGGTTTCCCCTGTGTGCTGGGTGACTTTGATAGCCCAGATCAGCTCCTTGCTTGTTTGAATGAAATCAGGCTGAGCATGACCAGGTTTATGCTCCTGATGAAGAAAAAGAAAGATTCTTTGCTTTACCAATTTTTATCTCCTCTTTTCCTGGGTGAGATGAGTTCAAGTGGTTCCCAGCACAGTTCTCTTCCAAGGCAGCAGTTGGCAGAGAAATGTTACTGCTGTCAGATCCCCAGCTTGCCCAGGGAGCAGACAGGAAGATCTGAAGATAGAGAGAGGATTAAAAGTAGGGAGCTGAAGCAGAAAGGTTATAAAACTCTGAAAAGGGGGGGGAAAAGTGAAATAATGGAAAAAATCCCAGAGTGGTAGTGGTACTGAACAGAAGAGAAAAAGAACTCTGTACTATTACTTCAGAGGAATAGGGAAAGGCAGGAGTGATGAAGTATTAGTGGCTAAATAAAGTACTCAAGTAACTTCCTTTTAATGATGACATGCATTGTTTCTTTATGATGGTAAGTGATGATTCAGATTTAAAGGGTATACTAGACTGTCTGATTAATGTGATTCTTGGAAAATCTAGAATAAAAACACATCCTTTCCTGAGCATTAGGTGACTTCACATGAAAAGATGTTGCAATTCTGGAGAATGGTAATTAGGATTAATTATAACCTAACTGACCTTCTGTGGTGTTAAAATGTTGGCAGAACTTGTTTGTCTTGGCAAGCCACCCTCTCCTAGAAGCTGCTGTTCTTGTGTTTGGTTTGGAAAGTTCACTGCCATATGGATCTGCACATATGGATTTCTCCATCAACCATCAGAGGAATAGAGAGAGATCTGAAATTACCTCACTGAAGAAATGTGAAACTATAAGATTCATATCATCTGAAGTAGAAATAATAGATACCATTATCTGGATGTGTGCTGTGAATTACCTATGCTTAGCAGTTCTATTTATCATGTACTAAAATTTGAAAAATAAGACGCTGAAGTACAATTATTTTTGAAATTATTTGTACCATACTGTTAGTATAGGTCACTTTTCTTTATATAGGCCTTGTTTTTCTCTTTGCCTAATTTAAATTCAAGCAGGATTCAAAGAATGTCAGCAATTTCTTTAAAGTAAAAAGATGCTTCTAGAATAAAACAAACCAAGGGCATGTTACAGAGACAGAAAAGTGAGAGACAGGCAGAGGAAATAGTCTGACTCTGCAGATCCCAAGGTGGTTTTTGCTGAGTGTGGTGGCAGCACTGCTGACAGCCCTGGACAACCCAGGGCAGTTGTTTATCTGCTGGGTTTGCACAATGGAAACAGATCCTGGTCCTCAGTCAAACTTTATTACAAACAGTGCTAAGCCTGGGAGATTTTAAAGCTGAAATGTTGTTCTTCCTTTCAAAGAATACAGAAATTCGAGGGCTGTTGCTGGAAGCATTTTTTTAAATAGTTTGATATTTATTTAATGTATATCATATCTTATATAGATGTAGAAATAGAAATAACATGTAGAAAGTATATCACGTTTTTACTCCTTCTGGAGTAGAGGCCATGTGGAGAAGGGAATCAAGAGGTAGGTTGGTGCTCACTCTGAAATTTCTGATTTTTGAAGGAACCAGCAAAGGCTGGTGCTGGGCTGTAAAGTGGGCAGCAATATTTAAGATTTGTGGCCAAACAGCTCAGATGATGGTGGCCCTTCAGGAAATCACAAACCCATTTGTCCAACCCCTCCTGTGGCAGGTGACTCCAGTGGAGGAGCTTCTGCACAGAGCCGTGCTCATTAATGTTGAAAACCAGTTTCTAATTTTAAAGTACCTCGACTGGGCTTGTGCCACATTTAGTTTCCTTTGTTGACTCATAATGTTTCAAAGTTGTTTTACTTCTCACAGGTTACTTTTTTAGCCAGGGTCAGTGATAGCTTTTGATACTTGATTCTGAATTTAAGTAATTTTCATTGCTGCTGGCCTACATAGGTATTTATTTCAAACTTGGCACTGATGTTGATGTTTCACCATCAACAGCTTCAGCTTTTAGATATGAAGAGTAAGTGATAAACTAAAGATCTAAACATACGTCTTTTTTATTTCCTTCCAGAGACTGACTCCTCAGGTTGGATAGCAACTAACTTTAGCATTTAATGGCATTTCTCCTCCCCCAACTCTCTAAAACAGATCAAGTTTCCTTCCTGATGGGAAGGCGCAGCATATATCTAAACTCATCAGTTATCTTGAATTTCATAAAATATTGGAGAACTGCTCAAGTAATGAATCTCAATTAGCTAGTAACAAAAATAGTGTGTGAATTTAAGAGAAACTGTTGTAATTAGACACAGCAGTGTTCCTGAATTCCTTTCAACAACTGGGGCTTTAAGATGTCTTGAAAGAGTCGCAATTCCTCAAAGATTAGGGGAATAGTGGAGGGGAATAGTTTTGCTTTAATAATCCGAGGGTTATTTTTTAAAGGTTCTGGGGCAAGCATTAACTATGGATGTAATTAATCTGTTCCTGCACACTTCTAGTAATTTTGTCATATTCATTAGTTCTGTGAGAAGCCTCATGAATCCAGAGTCAGATACAGGATAAATTTGCATTTGGGGTTGTTCTTTCTATGAACTTGGGCAGGCATTTGCTGCCATCTGATTTC